TAGTAAGCTTTACAAATATAAGTAAAGTGAATAAAAACTCATTTACATTCTACTTAGTCTCTAACGCTTTACATATCGCTTTATCTTACTCTTGGAAGTCACTGCTAGCTTATTTAATTTATATGAGATATATGGTTATTTAAAGCGTATCATTGTGTGTAGAAGTTCATAGAGATCTACAAGTAACATGAACCTATCTGTCATTTAAGCTAGGTGATATATTATGGTATTATTTAATATTAGTCTAAGTTATTTTATTTTATATACTTGGAACTAAACACATATTTTGAAATCCCTACTAATTCACTTTGTCATAACAGTCTTTAGTCTGCGCCATAAAATTATATCCAGCCATTTTTTGATACAATAGGTTTACTCTTATTCTACATTATTATTACTTAACCATTCATTTTATAGAGAGATTATGTTTTTTATTTTTTATCTTCCGATCTTCGGTCCTCAAGGCCTAGGCAATAACTTTCGTCTGGGTACTGGCAATACGAACTCAGCTACATATCCAGTGCTGCTCAACTCTCTCTTACATGTTCGAGTAACCAAGGTGGCTGTTCATTCGGGTGGTCAGCACTGTTTGGTGCTGACTTCTGATGGCCTTGTTTTCTCCTGGGGTGAGGGAGCTGACGGACGGTTAGGCCACGGGGACACTAATTGTCGCGAGCTACCAGAGCAGGTTGTTTCTCTTCCTCGTGGAATAGTGGATGTTGTGGCCGGAGGTGCGCATAGTGCTGCCATAACAGAAAGTGTAAGTATCCTAGAGCTAATTGCCCCACTTCATCCAATTTCAATTCACGTAGTTTGAAATGCTTACATGGGCATTTTTCTAGCTATTCGTAACTGGTCTTTAATTTCTGCTCCTGAATAACCCACTATTAAGACCAAGATGGTGTGGACTTTTGTGTGGTCGCAGTCTCCTTTCGTTGTGTAGAAGTTGTTTGACCTTGTTTTCACAACTTGATCATATTGGTAGGAAGACTTAGAGGAACGCACCTAGTC